CAGAAAGGATTCTTAATCTTGTGTCGTAAAGTCAACAGCTTTCTGAAATTTTGGTCTTACCATTGCGTAATACACCAGGAGTCACTGCGTGGAAAGTTTCTAAATATGAAGAATGTAATGAAAACAGTCATAAAAATAGTGTAGTTAGAAAGAAGAAGTTAAAGCATATGCAATTCAGAGATGTTTGTTCCATAGCACTGAATGCAGAACTAGAATGCCAGTATGGTGATCGAGTGCTTCATACAGAAGTTTGTTATTTGAGTAGAGGCAGAGTTTTACAACGTTTTCAAAAGTTGCTTCTTGGTGGAACAATTTCAGATGTTGCTTCACTCTCAAAAAATCTGGAACTTTGGGAAAAAAATATCATCCAATAGGCCTTACTTGTTTGAATACAAACACCTTACTTGTTTGAAACAAGCCATTGACCAGCAAGGGTCTTCAATGCCTCCCTTACTACAGCAAACAATACGTTGAAATTATTTCATATTTGAGAATAGAATTCAACAAACGTTTCTAAAATTTCGAAAGCATTTCAATTGTTGCGCAGTTTGTCAAATCGCCTTTTATAGAGATTAATGCTGAAGACTTCTGTACTTGTGTCATGGAACCTTTTGATTTTCAAGAACACAGTGCTGCAGTGGAGTTAGAACTGATTGATTTTCAAAACGATTTATCTGCCAAATCGCTTTCTTCAACTCTGAAACTATTTGGCGTCCTGTTCCTAAAGAAAAATACCCAATTAAGGTGCAGGTTGGTCTCAAAGTGAAAGCAATGTTAAGCTCTATGTATCTATGTGAAATTTCTTTTCCCAGTATGAAATTTATTAAAAATAAGTAAGCAAACAGACTCACTGATGAACACTTGGGCAACTGTATTCGAATGGCAGCTACTACCTACTCTCCCATCTTTAAGAACTTGTTGATGACAAAGAAAATAGTTTCATATTCCTCATTAAAGTTAATAAGTCTGATAAAAAAATCTGTTATTATATTTCCTATTTATTACTAGCTGCACTTCAATTTCTGTCTTATGTAGAATTTAATTTCAGTTTCTTTTTATTATGTACAGTTTAACTAAAACTGATTTCATATTTACTAGAAATATAAGTTTATAGCAGTAAACAAATGTTAAGATATTTTTAAAAAAAGGTGGTATTTATTTTGGTTGGTAGCTCGCAGCAGGACTTAAAAACGGTACGGTAGCTCAGAAGCTTCATAAGTTTGACGACTACTGCTCTAGACAAATAAGTGTGGTTTCCGCCTCCGTTTTTGAGCCGTCCGTGAGCAAATGTATTTCATTTGCAATCGGTAGTGTCATTAATTTACAAATTCTCTTTCAAGGATCTGCCGGAGGATATGGCTTTGTTTACTATTTGCATTTCGTAGTCAAGTTTGTAATACGTACGGCTCCAGATTATGGATGTTTGTCACGATCTGGTGACTTTGTCCTTTACCTGGGTAAAGAAGTAATCGGTTTCCCATTCCAAATGAAAGTGATAAGTTTTTTGGTTTTTGCTTGAACACAGCATCATTAGAACAGACATAGCTTAGTAAAAATGCGTAAATCAAACAATCCAAGTTAGAAGATGTCTAATACACTCGTACAGATGAAAAACATAATGTGACAATCTCACACGTATACAGTGAACTTTAAGATGAGGCTGACAATGACAGTTGTGCGGGAGAAGCAAGCGGTTTTTGTCGGCACTCATGTCGTCAGCATCGGCTCAGTGGAGGCAACCTTTGCTTCTCTTTCTATCGTCAGGTCTAGTGGCGGGATTCTCGCGCGTCATTCTATACGTTCTATATGTTTGCAGGAGCTGTAATGTTTGTATAGAAAGAAGTGTACATCTAATGAAAGACGAGTTCTCTTACCCGGACAGCAGCTCCATACGTAACTTTTTCTTGTAATGGTGTTATACTATAACTTTCGTATTCTGCTGTTCTTCTCTTGTTGTTATTCCAACTCGTGATTCTTTATTTAAGTCTCCTTAAATGCGGGAGCCAGGATAACCTATTATCAGTTGTGATTCCGAGATATTGTAACTCTGATACGCATTTGACTGGGGTCCCTGAAAGACTGAGGTCCCTTGATACTTAGATTTCTCCCAAGTTGACCTTTGCATTCAATCAAAATAACTTTTGTCTTCTGGGCTGAGATTTGCAGCTTGTGCTTTCTGGTGAATTGGGCAAATATATCGAGGCAGTGTTGAGCTCTTGTCTCTAAGTTTCTTCTTACTGCTACCGTGATTATAAAGTCATCAGCATATGCAATAATATTTGCATATTCAAGATGTTGAAAATACCGGAAAGCAGCATTGACTATTATATTTCAGAAGGTCGGTCCCACAAAGTGTTCTGGGGACACCCTCTGTTTATATCCTTCCTAAAGATTCCACTGTCAGTTGTGACATCTTATAGGAAAAATCATAATACGATTATTGCAGAGGGGCAAGCCATCTTTTCTGTAATAGTAATTAGATATGGCCACCAGAGGAAGCTGAAAATTTTTCTGATGTTGACTGCGATTGCCAAATTATCTAGATGTGTTTTACTGTATTGTAGTGTTTTATGAGCTCTGCAACTGCATGCTCTGTTGAGCTACCTGCTCATATTGTTTCTTATTAAGTACTTTTTTTCATGAAATAATTCATTTTGTTCATTATGGTTATTTTCAGAATTCTCATTGGTGGTAAGGGACATACTAGTTTATATAGTTAGGAAACTTCAGAAGTATTTTAAGATTTAAGGAAAAGGTTTACATCTGCGATCTTCATTGTTCTTGGAAAGTATTGTTGTCTACAGCAAGTTGACTAAATAGTCATTAGAAGTTCTGGTCTTTCATTTTGTATGGCATGTAAGACTATATTATCGATGCCATGTGGCGGTCCTGGAGCTTTCTTAGTGGCGAGATTACGAATTATGATATTTAATTCTGCCTTCCTCAATGGAAGTTCCTCTTTCCTGCTTACATTTTCAAATTTCATATTGCAAGTCATTCTAGCCTCTTTCTGTCACTCTGTAAAGTTATCCTCGTTATCCTATTTATTATAAAAGAACGTGTTTTTGATATTTTGGATCACGTGAAACTAGATGAGGTAAAGGTGCCAGTTGTAGCTGTGTAAACCATTGGTCAAAAGACTTGTCGCTGGCGACTTTTTTCTGCTGTTCCATATGCATTTTTTACCTGACTACAATAGACTCTCCAAGAAGCAATTTTAGCCTTATTTATCTTTTCTTTTATGCGGATTTAACTTTACTATGCCAAATTATGTGTAGGATGCGTTTGCTTTTCACCAGTTGGTTGCCTGGACTTTTAATTGCAGTACCGTTGCGCTGCTTCTTTCCGCCTAAGTTCTGAAATCCACCAGGAGGTGGTGTTTCTCACCTTGACTTTCTTCAGGCGATACATCTTGTGACAGGCATGTATTATCGTACTCACTACTCTGTTGTATAAACTATTCAGTGTCACTCTTTCTTGGCAGCTGTTTAAGTCTGCTATAATATCCTCTGCATAAATTTTGAGAGAAAGTCTGTTAGGTTAGCGTACTCGCAAAACTCTGTTAAAAATCATCGTTTTATTACATACTCACTGGGAGCATCTAGCTTGAATTTTACGATTTTATGGTTATTCAAGGACAGGAAATCACTGACTGTACGTATTTGGCCGTAGAAGCGAAGACCTACGTTATGTAGTCCACCCTCTTGCTCAGACAGTTTCAAAGGTTGGTGCTGAATCTTGACTGTTCACAACTATGTAGTAATTTGATTCTATAAATTCCAACATTACAGCTCCTCGTGAGCTCCCAATGCCAGCTCCCTACAGAAAGTTAGCAGCATTGAAGTTCCCGGCAATAATTTTATGTACAGCTCCTTTTGCTGGATGGAGAATAAGCTCTTCCTAAGGATCATTAACATTAGGGCTCGCTGGAAAGTAGACAGGCGTGATATCTATGACAGAAGAACTTTGACAGAAGAACCTTTAGCATGGAATGTCACTCTGGTGGGAATCGTAAGAAAAAATCGCAAAGATCTTCCTTAGTGTCTAGTCAATGTAAAATCGAGCGATTCATTCATTCGATTTTCTTTTCGCCAAGAAGTTGACAGTGATTTCATATGCACTAAAAAAATGTATCATTCGTCTCTCAAGCATGCACAATGAACACTGCACTGCTGATGAAAGTAACGACTTCAAGCTAGACACAATATTGGATAACAACAGACCAAAGAGCGACGGTGTAAATAACATTCTAAGATTCATTGTAGATAAGCGTTTTCGGGAATATACTTTTCATAGGGGTACAGAAAGGTGGCCACTGTCCTTATTTCTCAACTTTGTCTATAATGGATTTGTCATTTGGAAAGAGAATTTGCACAAAGATCCAGATTTGAAGTCTCTGAAAACTGCACAACAGGTTTTAGAGGAACATGGCAAACAGTTGATTGAACCTCAGTTGGAACACCGCGCTTCACATATCGAAAATAAACCAAGAGGCTACAATAATTTCACAATTCAGGTTATAAAACTTACTGGAAGTGATGCAAAAAAAAAAAAAAAAAAAAAAAAAAAAAAAAAAAAAGCAAAGCATCAAATCGACTTTGAGGACGAGACTTCCAGCATCAAATCGACTTTGAGGACGAGACTTCCATCCAAACGAGGTAGGTATACTCTGAGCCCTAGAACAATACATAACACCAAGTATTCTCAGAAGTGCAACAAATGCAGAAAATTTATGCGTAAACGTCAAACTTCATGTGTTATTTTTTGACTTGCTTGTGAAAAAGATAAGCATCAAAGCTGAGTGTAGTTAACAATGCGTTACTACAATTACTCTTACAAAATTTAATTGTTTTGTAATTTTTTACCTGAAATTTTGGACCAATATATCCGTAATAGTGTGGCAATAAATGTTCATTGTCAGTATTATATCAAATTTATCTTTTGATCCGTTTTCTGACCTTAACATTATAAATACAAATGGAGTCAACATGATACCAATCTCAGGTACTTTAGTAACATTTTTATCTTAGTACTTGAAGGATTAAAATATAGGAGGGTCTGCAAGACATTGACACAAGCTTGTAGATGCAGTAGAGCTCTACAAGCTTTCCAGATGCCAGGTAACAGACCAACACGCACATTAAAATTTGTAATATAACTGACAGAGTAAAACTAGCTTTTTCTTATCTATATGGAACTAATTAATCTTAGAGTTTTCATAATTACTTCATGCAGTAGTTTTTATACATTATTTAGTTGTAATATTTCATTAAGTCTTATAAATATAAAGGGGAAAAAGGATGGGAATTTATTTTGCAAAACACATCAATAAATCCATCAAACGTGTTTCATAGTTCTCAGCACTTCTCTTTTCTCCTTGAACTGTGATGAATGTAGTATCGTCTGAAAGAAAAAAAAGGGCAGCGTGTAAAACTGATCCTATTACACTCTGTTACTTTAAAATAGACCCTTCAAGGTCTTTATAAAATTTATAATAGTAACAGATGTCGTCATTACCGCACAGAACTTATTTTCAGTACGCCATTTGAGAGTTTAGTTCAAGTTAGCTTTCGCTTTATACAAACGAAACACGCTAAACTGAAACGAAGTGGGAAAAGTGTTAGGAACTCAGCCATCTTCCGCAGGTGTCGTTACCATGGTTATGAGCAAGTCAGCAGAAAAAATATCCTTGAAGTGCCTATTGTAAAGTAGCAGATTTATAGTAGAGTCAAGAAAACATCGTAAAATTAATCACAGTTGTATTTAATTTTCTTTAAGCAGCATTTGATTTAACATAAAAGTTAACTCTGTCAGGGAACATTAAATTGTACTTATTGCTATTTTTACTCTGCGTTCTCTCAAAGTAATGTATACCAGTTCTTAAGTTTTACATTTTAATTTTGTCTTTAGGTGCTAATTTGTGTTCAGAAGATTACTTAGCTGTTATTTGTTAGGTTAAAAACTTCAGGTATTATTTTTGCTTCCTCGGGATGCTTTCTTGGTAACGTCTTTTCGGTAAGAATAAAATGTATGAAATTCTTCAATAAGTTGGCGGTCATTAAGCTTGAAAGTTTAAGCAAAGTATAGAACATGAAACGAAAATTACAAGATTTGCAAAGAAAAGACGTCTTTCTAGATAAAAATTATTTAGTAATCCTTCACAGAAATCCCTGAAGGGCTGTCTGCGCTTTGGAGGAAAGGCTTCCTCTGAGCACCTTTTAATAGGGACAAGCTACACTTGCTACACTTCAGGCTACAAAAGGAAAAGGCGCGAAACTTACGACTCACGTTATCCACCCGTTCCCCCCTTTTTTTTTCTTTAAGAATAATCGAATCTGAAAGAATCTATCACATATGAGTAGTTTTATCCATTGGCATTGGAGGGTTCGTTTCACTAAACCATAGAGACACAAAGTTCTTTCGTCTTTCGCTGTTTGGAAAATGTTCAGTTTCCTCTTCAAAATAACACTATTAAAGATTTAGCTTCTGTAAAAACGGATTTTATCACGTAATAGACAAATGTAAAATAAATCGAACATATCGTTTCTGATAACATGTTCTAAACTAATGATAAATAATTTTTTCTCCGTTCAAATAGAAATTCAGATGCTGTGTATCATTTCCGATGGTTCCCTATTAAAGCAGAAATTCAAAGATATGTATAACATCTCAGCTTTATATCAGTCATTGGTTATGTTTTATTCTGTCATTAAGCCTATAAGGCATTTCTCCCGTCTTCTTAGCGCGCCTTCGTGGTGTGGCGGTCTGCACGCTGGCCGCGTATTCCAGAGTTCCGTGGTTCGATTCCTGGCGAGGACGTTGCTCATTTTTCATCACACCTGCTTCCAAAAAATACCTAATGTCTCTACAGTGGCTCCTGAACTAAAAGGGTGTTTGACGATGATTCTCCACACTCAGAATTTGGCGATTGGGTCCCCTAAAACCCCAGTCGCATTTTAAAAGGGGAGTATATAAGGTATTTCTCCCGCCTTCTTAGCGTGCTTTCGTGGTGTGGTGGTCTACACGCTGGGCGCGTATTCCAGAGGTCCGTGGTTCGATTCCTGGCGAAGGCATTGCTCATTTTTCACATCTCCTGCTTCCAAAAGTACATAATATCTCTACAAGCCTCTTAATGTGTGACGTGAATATGAGTTAGTTTCCCTTAAAATATCTTCCACGAACCCATCCCTCCTCGTCATAGCCCTTGCGTACTTTGTCCCAATCTATGAAATTTAAATGTTATGAGTCCTATTAAAAGTAATGAATAGCTGGATTTTGTCTCATAATTACACTTTATGACTTCACCGGCATGTTTACTTATGAAAGTTTAGCAATAAATGCCTCTAACCATGGAGAGACCTACCAAGGACTGACAGGTAAGATAGCTAAGCTCTGGTAGTTCAACCAGGGTTCAAATCTCAGAGAACGAGCTGGTTGCATGGGGGTCTTTGTGTGTAGAAGGATACAAGTCAGTATCTTTTAAAAAGTCCTGTATGAAGTCTTCCCTCCTCATAGGCAGATAGCCTTCGAGTTGCTTTGTCTTATATGAATTAATATAACCTAATCTAATCTTCGAGAGAAAGCGTCAAAAATGTTATAAGAACGCTCACAGTTACAGGTAGTTTAGTTATGAATACTTTTTATTTGTTATGTTCTTGCTGTAACCACGTTCCTGAAAATTAAATTCGCATTATATTTCCATTCTCGTTTTTCACGGAATAAAATAAGTAAAATAAAAGCAGGGAAATATACGTGAGTAAAATACTGTTTTTTATAAAGTAACTGCAGGAAGTGAAAGATTTTTAACTTATTATGGGAAAAGGAATTCAGCTTCGCATTTATTAACATTTAATATTAGCATGAGTCTTAAATAACTTACAATTTATATCTTTTACTCCATCTGAAAGTACCTGAAGCTTATACATGTTTCGTTTAATTCTGACCTGTGTTCATACCTCAAAGCCCTTGCTTCGCAGCAACTCCAGAATATCCATCTGCAAGACCGTGACATACGAGAGGCTAGATTCTTTGTTCTTTCTTTACATTCTTGGAAGAGATTTGCAGCTAAAAACGTTCTCCGAACATTGCCAACTCTTTTACCTCTTATGCAGCAGTTTCGCTTCCACTTATCAGTCTGCTTGCTGTCTTTGCTTTTCTTTTTACCTACACAAATATATATAATTACATGGGTCAAAAGGTTCTTCGGTAATGAGCGGTAAATGTTAACTAGACTGTCTATTCTACTGCCTTGTTGGCAATAATGTGCTATACATAAATGATTAATAAATTGGTAAGCAATTATTAGTTACAAAAAAGTGTTTTGTGAAGTCATCACTTAATCTAGAACCCCTAAAATTATACCAATTTTTCTGCTGAAAGTATTTTCATAACATCTCTTCAGCAAAATCTCCATGTCTTAAATATGCTACGATATCTGTTACCGTTCACTATATTAAATACGCTATTATAATGGAAAATTTTATTAGTTTTCGCAAGTGAATACGCTGTTTTAATATATTATTGCTGAAAATTTATAATGATGTGTGTTTACTTCATAATATTTTTAAAGGCTGAACTTAGATATAACTAGTAACATGAATATGGAGTCTTCAAAAGACACGAATTCAGCGTTAGAAAAGGAAGTCATCTCAGTACCTCTCTTTTTAAGGAAAATAGGGAATTCGATTGAAAGTCATTATAAATAGTCATTACTGTTTTCTATTTTCTATGTTATGGTTTTATATTACATATAATATACAACACTACTTTTCGTACGGAGTTATTCATTGCCTAATACAGGATTATGAGTTAAGCCATCTGTCATCTAAGAAGTGGGTAACTACATTCGCTATTATTAACAAATGCCATTAACAAATAAAATATCTATATCAGATCAAAAATTTATTAGACGTCACAAAATAACGCAAAATGTCGAAAGAACTCCTTTTTCATATGGTGAAGTTAAATATTTTTTTTTAGTTTTTGACTCTAGAATTACCAATCTAAGGTTAGAAATAATATCTGGAGGTAATGATTTAAATTTCATCATACGTCTCAGTTCATTAAATCAAATCTTTGGAAAAGGGAATGACGAACTTCAGAGAAACCAATTTTTCTTATGCAATGAGATACCGGAAACAAGTGAAGAAATATTTCGTTAAAATGCAGTTGCTTAAAAAATGAAGCTCCAAAAATAGATGGAAAGCTATTCGCTGACTTTCGAGATGAAATATTCTGTAATTGGTTCCCCAAAATATCCCAACGGGCTGTAATATTTCTACATTATTACATTAATTTTTAAGCTCAATCTGAAATTAGGACTAATTTTGTATATAATGAAGTGGTAAGTCCGCAGTGAACGGTTAAATGTAGCAATAAAGAAGAATAGCCGTTCACATATGTCATTCTGAAGTAAGCTTAACATCTACTGAAAACTCCGAGAAAGTTAAATACGCTTACATACTATTTCTTCCTGCAGTAATTACCAACATATTCTGAATTAGATCTCTTTCATCAAGCGGACGTCATCTGCGAGAAAAAATGCTGCAGTATTTCATATACACTACATGACAGAGAAAATGCAATACCAGGAAAATGTAGTTTTTATAATTAAGCAAATTGCAGCAAATATGAAGCTGAAGGATTTTTATAAATAACATGTGATGCAAGGTTGTCGTATGACATGTTAGCGAGATAAGAAGGGAAGGAAACTTCTGATGGGTCAACGTAGAGGACAGGGAGAGTTTCACTTTCGGTGACCGTAGTGGTTGTCTTTACGTGAATATTATTTTCACTTCGCAGTAGTAATCTAACCTCGCAGGAAGATCTGAATTTCAGTAGCACTTCATCAGGAAGGGTACTGGGGATGCGACCTTTAGAGAAGCACTGTTCGTTATTTTCGAAATTTTGCTGCAATGCTTTCGAACAACAGCTGTAAACGTAAAGCATCAAAAATGGCATCTGTTTTGTTAATCCTTTAAACGGATGCTCTCTAGTATTACGAAAATTTTATAAAAGAAAATTTCCAAGGATTTTAGTCAATTTTTTACATTTATATACAACCCAAATTTTTATACCCTGTTGCCAACCGACGAGAGGTCTGTGACAGCCGTGAAACCGAACATTCTATTTGAACAGGTAATTAATCACAAAAAACATATTGTTGCAACTCAAGAAAACTTAAACAAATTGGGCAAATCAGATAGAGAATGCGGGCGAAACTATTAATAACTCTAAGCCAAACTCTGAGGAAAATAATGCAAATGAAAGCTGGGAAACCCCCCCCAAAAAAAAAAAACTAAGCACTTTGTAGAAACAATTATAGGTGTATGGAACACCAAAGATCTCGTACAACCTAATTGTAGCCACAGAAATGAAGATCAAGGCAGTAAGTGTGCCAGTTGTATAGGTCCACATATTTCAGCCTGGAGAGATTACCTTATGAATCCTAAAAATTTCAGCAAAATTATGGGCGTAATGAGACCACTAAACAGAATAAAAGTAACCCTACACCAAATACTTCCTGAAGTATCAGCTCTGTCCCTAACGAATTTATCAGCAAGGATAAATAATGGGAAGTATTTTAAACGTCGGCTAGTAAGATGCTAAAGCAGTAATAACTTTATCAGAGCTGGCAATAGCACGTAACTGCAAGGCGAGGCTGCCAGAAGCTCTCGCTTAACATTCAAAATCTCGGTATAAATACACAACGTCGAATTCACATTTTGGTGAAGACTGCGGAAAGAAGTTAAAGTAAAGATTCAAATCATAGTAAGTGGTTAATTGAAGCAATATCCTACAATTCCATTAGAGTTTGCACGCCTAAATTGGATAAAAGTTACCACGACCTTTGCAACCTATCGCATCTCAACTTTATCAACACCCTGAAGTTGTTGATATCCTCTTCGTAAAAACCTCTGGTGTACATCCACAAAGTGAAATACTCTACGAATTAAATTTAGATCACTTTTCAGAGCAATTTAGTTTGTCTAGGTCTTATCCAGTAACAAAGTATATAAGGTATTTCTCCCACCTTCTTGGCGTGCCTTCGTGGTGTAGTGGTTCTGCACGCTGGGCCGGTATTCTAAAGGTCCGTGGTTCGATTCCCGGCGAAGGCGTTGCTAATTCTTCATCTTGCCTGCTTCCAAAAAATACCTAATGTAATACATTACTAATGTATTACATTAGGTAATGTATGCCACAAAGAAAACTTGCTGATCACAACACATCGACTACTTTAGGACAAGTTACATTAGCATAAATTCTTCTCTTTCTAATGTGCTAAATTTTGATAATGAAATCTTTTCACGTTTTTTATATCTGAGCTATCTGAGCTTAGAAAAGAGTTAAATAAGTGTACCTATTATTTAAATATTGCTTCGGAAATAATTTAACAATACTTAGCTGCTTAAATCTATTAAATATTAAGTCAGATTTATTTTAAGCTAAGAATAACAAATCGTAGAGAAGAAAGGCACGGATGCAATAGCAAAGGATTCAAATAGCAGTATTAAATGAATATCTATAAAATCATTTGAAAAAAAAAAATAGAATGCTTGAACGAAACTGAATGCAAACACATTTGATTTAACATTTTTCTTTACTGTGCAATTTTAGATTTTGTTGCGCTCTCAGTTTTTATTTTCCATATTTGAAGACCAGATTTTTGAATTAATAAACTGGCATTTAATAAAATGACTTGACACTATTCTGAATCTCTCTTGTTTTAAATTGAAAGAATAACTTTTAATACTGGTTCCTTTTTTCAAGACTTTAAATATGGCATTTCATTTCTTTTTACCTAGATATCCTTTTACACGCAATTTTATTGTGTCAATACTGCCAAATAACGCACTACAACAATATGTTATTGCAGCATTAATTATAATTAACACTACAGTAACATATAAGATTGGTTTCGTATTCCTTTAAACAACTGAATAGTTGTCACGTGTATCTTTAGATCAAAAACATCTCTTAAAATATAAAAATACGTAACAGTGACGTAGAATCGAGTGACTGATAGGCTAAATATAAGGTGAAATGATACCTAAGAAGAAAAACAAATTTGCTCCCACAGAATTCTACAGAAATAATTGTTGCTTAATATAGAAACACTGGCCTGTAGTTACCATTGCAACGCTTACAACATGAATAACAACATCTTACCGTACTTTTTGTGTTTAAAATAAAATTCTTCAGATTTCTTCCTTTTTTCTGCTTTTTTGTTTTTCCCCTTTTTGTTTTCTGGACTATTAGCTTCACATTCAAGTGCATCTTGAGACTGACTTTCATCAGAAAATGGTTGATTACCAACATCTTCAACAGAATCTTCATTTTCGTCAAACGAATCTTCATATTTACTGAAAAGTATGGCTAGATCATCACTACATTAATATAAATTACATAATAATGTAGAGCATTCATTTATTTTCATTAAGCAATTATTTTGTGTTAATGATCTTTAGTATCTTTCTCGCTTACCGTTTCCCTGCGAGGATATTAAGTTCTAGCTCACGCTTATTCAAATGAGGTAGAAAGAGATAGTATTTCAAGGGAGGTTTTAGACGGTAGAATTAGAGAGTGTTCCCCCTGTTGAAAATCACATTACTAGTTAATTCTCTTGAGGGCAGTTTATCTGCGCTATCCTTGAGCTAGGCCATTGTGTTATCCTTGCCATTATGCTTGTCCCGCCGATATTAGGTCCGAGCCAACTTGCGCGTTTTCTGTTTGTGCAGCCTTTGCGCTAACTCCAAATTTACTTAGTTACGTTCAATTCGTTTATATTTAATTTACCCCATAAATGCTGGCTGGTTATTTAAGCCCAAGCTGTGCCTTTTCTTAAATTATCTGAGTTAATAAAAGGGTCTTTTACACTTTTGCCAAGTCTCAGTTGGAATTTCCAAGACATAGCGAGATGTCCCTTAAATTTTCAGAGTTTACACTCAGTTTATGTTACCAAAGACAAAAAGACTCTGTAATAATAATAATAATAATAATAATAATAATAATAATAATAATAATAATAACACAGTAATAAATTATGGTAACAATACATTAATAAATAATATATATAACATAGTATTATCATAAATAACTGGAAGAAATGTCTTTGAAAGAGTTTCAAATGGTTATATATTTAAATGAAAGACATTTAACACCTCTTAACATTTCAAACACAATCCAAATTTTCTACATTTTATAATTTGCGCTAGCAATTTTCAGAGATAGTTTAAATTTTCCTTACCTCCCGTTCTTAGCCTAATTGCCACAGTGAAAAAAAAATGTTGCATTTAAATATCAAAGGACCTTAAGCAACTTGCTCACTAACCACCATGAATTAGATGAAAAAGCAGAATGACATTGTAAGACGCTAGTTTACAGCAATTACGTAGATTCTCATCACCAGCACATAATTACTGGCAACCTGAATATCATACAAAACCATCAACTAAAAACACTAATGAGTTATGGTACAAAATTTAGACCAGTCAGAAACATAACTAAAAATTACTGTTACAAGACTTTCGAAAACAACATCAACGAATTTATAATTAAAGCAAGCTATCAACTGAATTTACCCATACATACCTTCTTAAAATGGAAAGCTAAAATTCTTCAACGCATATCCACCGAAATCAGTCACCTCAAGTTAAAAAGTACAAGATGAATTGGTCGCAATAATACATCAGATCATTAAAAAAATTAAAACAGCTTTTTTACTATTACAAAAATAGATAAATCAAATAATAACTTTAGCATTATATGAAAGCAATTCTACGCAGAAATTATTCATAAAGAACTTCTTGAACGCAACTACTTATCAATTAGCCAAACCTTACAGAAACATCTTATAATAAACAGGAATTAAAACTTTTCATAAGAAACTCAAATATCACTTTCAAATACCAAACTACAACAGATTTACTAATCCTTTATGCACTTCCCAAATTCCATAAAACACCACTTAAAATTCAGATTTATAGCAAATGGAACTAATAACTTACAAGAAAAATGTAGACTATTATTTTTCAATTCAACTTTAAAAAATCTTGTAAATTTATTTTTCAATGAATTGTAACACTAATCATAACTATTGCTGGATCATCCATAATAACACTCCTGTCATTAATACCATTCAAACATTTAACATCCAAAACATTAACTACTATGACTTTGAAAACTTATATACCTCACTTCCTCTAGAAGAAATCTATAACAGTCTACTTGATCAGCCTAAACTCTTCCCTGATATGCTCAAAATTATGACTCTTGACAAATGGAAAACCTACCTAAAATGCACACTTTTTCATAACTACATCAAGTTTCAAAATCAACTTTTTAAACAAGTCAGAGGATTGCCAATGGGCTTACATTGTAGCTCCTCGATCTGTAATATCTTTTTATTTATCAAAGAATTTAACTTCAAAAAAAAAAATCTACAACCACAAGAGTTAAATTACTACAAACACACCTACAGATATATTGATGACCTTATTACAATTAATAATTTTGGTAAAATTGAACACTCCGAGATTTATCCAAATTGTCTTACACTTAATAAAACTAATAATTCACAAAATAGCATAGACTTTTTAGAGCTTCAAATAATTAACTACAAAAAAATTTTACTTTTTGACAAAACAAGACACTTCAATTTCATTACTAACAAATTAATAAATTGGAACTCCAACATATCCAAAAAAGTAATTAACAATACAATAATTAATCAAATACAACGAATTAAAATTATATGCACAGATACAATAGATTTACAACGCGAAATTTTGCTCCTTATTAAAATTCTCAAAAAATAATCTAATACCCATTCAATTTATTAACCATTGCCTTAAAAGAGCAGGCGTTAAATACTCACTCTAAATCATTTAACTGATAGGGATATGATAATTTGTTCCTAAACCTGAGAAGGCGGTATAAGTTCGATGACTATCAGTTGAAGGATTTGTATATAGTGTAATTACTCAGTTGTATATATTGTAAATAGCTAATTGTCTTCAAACTTATGCTGTTACTAAAAAAAATGGGCCTATTCCATGACTTTAGTCTGTCTAATAGCTCTTGGACAGTGAAAATTCCTTTTTTCCTTTCTTAAATTCTTAATCATTGCGACACGACAATTAGCCAGAAATTAATTAATTTCCATTCACTAGTATTCTAAAAAAAATCTTAATAGACAGTTTCACTCAAATAAGAACTCCACATAATACATCCTCAAGAATTCCGAGTTCCACCCACTACCATAAATTACTTCACCCAAGTCTTACCGACTGATATTATTCAAAGCCCCCACTGCCGCTAAGAATTTTCGGACACCCTACACTTATGAGTCAGACACGAAGAGCAGTTTGCAAACTCCCCACTAGAAAGAATGTAAGTTACTTAATACCTTTTCTGGCCTTTATATCTTCATGTACATTCACTGTTCTTATTTATTTTTTTATATTAATTTTTATATTATTTTTGATTTGATTTTACAAAGTTTGCATTATTTATCTTATTTTGTAATCTTCTATGTTTATTTCAACTTTACTTTGAATTCTATTTCATAATGACAATTTCCATTGTTTAATTTTTACAAATAATATAGAACTCAAATGCACAAACATGAGGATGTCGGGGACGGTTACTCGAGTTTTTTCGGATTTCTCTACAGAAATTGCTTTTTCCTCCAAATTGAATTGGCTGAAATGCTTCATAAGAATAAGTTCTTTGAGTATCAGCATTGGTTCGTAATCTCTTCTATTTGCGGAAATATTTGGCTTGACTAGAATTGCCAGTTTGGCTTTACCTTATAACTCGAGTAAAGACGAAACACCTTCGTATTTACGTATTTTTATTAATTATTGTTCATTTGTTCCCCTTGAAAGGGAGTTGGTTGGGAGTTGGTTTGTTCCCCTTGAAAAGTCAACTAATTTCCGATCAATGACAATGATTACATGTTTTTAATTTAAATTTTCCTTTTACAATTGAAATTTTGTTCTTCATGATGATTTAATTTCCAGTCCCCGTTAAAACATTATTAACATTTTACTTTCAAGCGTTTACTTCGAAACATTTTTCAAAATATAACTTACCAGTATGGATTCACTTTTTAAAATAAATTCTACTTTAATTACAACTTAGGAGATAATATAATCAATTAATCAATATGTTTAGGATATAAATTATTATTAACTAACTTGGCAGCAATTGCGCAAGTGTAGTAACTTGTTTTCGCACTAAATTAATTTAAGATCATACAACATTATTATATTTATATATATATTTCAAATGCAGTTAAATAAATATCTTGCATACAAACAAATTGCTCAAGCTAAAGGAAAAAGAAGAGTAAATTTAAATAGAAAGAAATAATTCAATTTATTAATTTACTGCAAAAGAAGTAAACTGCTATCGAATTTACGTTTTATTTTTGATTTCCTTCATAACTCAAATAAGATAATTTTATTTAAAATTTTATTTTGTGTTTGTGAATTTTAAAAATATCTTCTTAGTTAGTACATTATATGTTTAGTTCTGGGTTTGTAATCTTGTTCAGTAAGGGATAAAGGTCGAGTTGTTCTTTTATATATCAAATCTCTAAAGTTTTCCTGAAGACCAATAACTCTTTCAAAGATTACGCCCCACATCGTACATATTGTTCATTTCATGAGCTATTCAAGTTTTAATACTGATGTTTTATTTTGACAAACAGGATTAATCCATCAGGCGCTCAATGGATAAGATAAAGGAACACTGGTAGTTCGTGCCAGGTTTGGTTTTTATTGCGATTTCGTGGCTTTCTTTGTGTGCAACAAGAATGCGAATCAGTTAGGGAATCAAGAAATTAGGGCGACATATCGCTATGCAAAGCATCAGGTACAAAATTACTGAACAAAGTGAAACTATAATCAAGATGATATATCTTTCTTATGGAATTTTTAGGATATTCTTGAGTTTTAAGGTAAGTTTTTGGAACACGAGATGGTTAAAGCAATTTAGTGATTAGACGAAGAACTTAATTATTTTTAAAGTATATATGGTGAAAAAAAATTAACTTGTGTATGAATCACCTAGACGAGGGAGACTGATATTACAATTGTGGTATGAGCCATCTACCGAAGCTCAAGAATTAGCAAATGAAGAAGGCTTCATTTGCTCAAGAATTCGCATTTTGTGTTTTCAAGTACGTATTGCAAAACAATAAATATTATAATTGATAAAAGTACCGTATTTCCCGAAAAATCATACCTAATAAGAAACTAAGCCATAGCATAATTTTTCACAGGGTGCTTGTAATATAAGGGCTAACCCCCAAACTAAGCCCTCTTAAAGATCATCAGTCAGACGTATTCCCCATTGA